CCCGGCTTCTTTTCTTTCGAAAAGAAAGCTGAATTTCTTAATCTGAACTGTTGTTTTTCCATGGTGGCAGAAAATCTCACCAAAGTCATTCTAGACTTCTCCAGGCTTTGTTATAGTTATAGAAACTCACACAATTCCAAGGAATAATAGCAGAAAAGTCGGCTATGTGTGGATGTCCTTCAACTCATAGACTTTGGGTTCTCAGTTGACACCAATTATCCTAAGTCACTGCCAAAAGATTTACTGTCCTGTGTGTAAGATCTTTAAGTATCTTCTGCTTCTAGATTGCAAGTCTGAGAACTGAGTACATAATTTGAGCCCAGCAATAGTAACATAGCATGACATACTTACAGGAAAATATTTCCATTGCAATTAAAAAGACACAGAAGCGGTGGCTCTGTGCATAAGGCCTACACACAAAAAAGAATAGATATAAGTATAACGGAGACTAGTTGGGAAAAAGTGGGTCAGCAAGAGTAGGAGGGGCTGAGAGAGGGAAATGGAGGTGACTATGATCACAAAATATTGAAAGTGTGTATGCAATAATAAAAATTAAAAAAAACTTTAAACGAAATAAACTAATTAAAAATTTAACTTTAAAAACATAATGCAAACAAAAGCAAAACATTCTTCTGATTGGGATGTGCAGAGAACAGAAAAACATTTTGGAGCTTGTCCTGCAACTTGAGCTGAACTACTCACCCCTACGCCTTGATCTTTGCTTCTCTCTCTCAGTGGAATTGGTTAACTATGTTCTGAAAACTAAGGTATAGACCTGTTGGCCTTGGTACTACATGCTTGTAATGGGAGTATTGGAAGACAGAGGCAGGTGACTCAAAATTTATGGCCAGTCTAGGCTACTTTGTTGGCCAGCCCAGGCAACTTTGTGAGACTTTGTATCAAAACAAACAAACAAAAAAAAAAAAACTTAAAACAAGGACCAGGGATGAGTTGAATCCTCAAAGCCTCAAGAAAAGGTTTTAAAACATAAACAAATGGAACACCAGACCTTGCTTTCTCCATGCTCCTAATACCCAAATGTAATAAATCACAGATGAAACTTCTGGAAGTATTCTCTCTAGATCTCAGGCTGAAACATTGTTAGGGACTCCACATCATCTCATTCTTCTCAACAATGGATTATTCCTAAAAAAGCAATAGGACCAAAAGACTGAAATGAACAGTGTGTGTAGGAGTAGAGTGGTTACTATACCAAACGTGCAACGGCCACATAACACACACATTGTTCAATTCAAGGCAAATCTTGATTGTGGGGTTTAATCTTGGTTGTCACCTTAACTAGACCTAGAATCAACCAGCAGGCAAGCCAGTAGAAACACCTATGAGAGATTTTTCTCTATCAGTTCAGTTAAAATACAAAGGCCCAACCTAAATGTGAATGGCCCCTTCTGTTGACAGCCCAGATAAAAAGTAAAACGCCTTTGCTTTTTGCCTGCTTGCTGTCACATCATGCAGGGAAGTCCATCTGACCTGGTAGCATCTTGCTGTGACTACCGCTGCCATTCTTCAGTGACATAATAATTCGGCTTCTTTTGCCTTCCAGTGTGGACTGAAGATAATGGCTCACTAGAAACTCTCTATGCTTTCCGTGCCAGATGAGGATTGCTGAGTTATCTAACTTGTAGACTGACCAGGTTACCAGGTCCTCAGCCTTTCCAGTAGCTTCCTATGCATGCATTGTGCAGCTGCCTAGCCTTTACAGTGTAAACCAATTTGCTGAAAGTCCCTTAACTATGTAACAGTCTATAGGCTCTGTTTCCCTAGAGAAACCTAACACACTCACTAAGGCTCTGTTGAAGTAAAGCCCATGCTGAAGGAACTCCAACTTCTTCCACACTGCCCAGTACGCTTACTTGGGAAGGTACTTGTTATAATCCTATAATAATAGGGCTGCGGCAAAGCGTAAGAAAATAAAATATGTGATAGGTGAAAGCTGCAGATGTTGAATCCTATAAATTGAAAAAAAACTGGGAATCAGCCTATTGCTGTGTTATTATGTGTCTTACTACACTTCTTGTGCCTTTCTTTTCTCATGCTACTGGAGATGGAATTTGGGACCTTGTACATACTAGGCAAGTAAGTGCTCTACCTTTGAACTACACCCCTAGTCCTCGCTACTTTTTATTTTCCATGCTGTAGATATCTATATAGCTATTTTCAGTGATAGCTATCCACTTGTCATTCCTCCCTTAGCAAATACTCCTTTTCTTGGAATACCTCTCTCATCCATCTGCCTAGACTGTGCCTTGTTCTTTAAGTTATCTAAACTACCACCTATCCTTGGAAGCTCTGCTTTTTGACACCAGGCTCCTCCACAGTCTGACACCCATTAGCATGCCTCCTTTCCAATACTCCTCACACTTGAGTTGACATTATTTCTCATTTTATTCTGTTTATACAACCTTGCCAAGTTCTTAATTAAGAATTGGCTTTGCTACCTGTTCCCAAGTTATCCTCTGGGTCTCTTCAATAATATGGTAAGTTTGCAGGGAAGAAGGGTTGCTCCTCTATGTTGTACACATGCATTGTATGTTTGCCTTAAGCTGAATACACACGTCCAATTAAAAAATACAGACACCAAAACACAGCACCTAATGGATAAATGAATACTCAATGAAAAAATAACAAACCAGTGGGTTTTCTAACATCATTTCTCAATAAGCAAAAGAACATAGCCATGGTGATGTTTTATTATACATTGTTTTAATGTAGCATTTGCCTGCTGATAAGCCCATTTATTCAATTAGTTTACTTCATGGGGAGGAAACATCAATATCATATTTTCTAGCCACAGTTATCTGATTTTCATATTGATTGTCTAAGATTTTCATCACCAGATGCAGTATCCGAGATTATCCAAACATAGGCATCCGCTCCTCAAAGATTACTTATATACTATGTCCAAGGAGGGTTTGGGATGTAGGGAAACATGAATAGACTAAAGCTTATGTTCTGGGGAAAAGAAGTTATAAACTAAATACAGAAGGGAATGGATGAACCTAATTGCTATCAGATTAATTACCTGGCTCCTCTAGAAGTAGAACACTTTAAAGAGATATGCAGGAAAGAACTGCCAGGGCTGCTGGCACAGGCCTATAACCCTAGCTACTTGGGAAGTGAGGCAGGAGAATCTTGTGTTAAAGGCCTAACTTGACTACATAGTAACTTCAAGTAGAGTCTGGGCAACTGGTCAGACTCTCTCAAAGTGAAAAATAAAAGATAAAATGGGGAGAGAATAAAACTCTAGTAGAGTGCTTACCTAGTTTGTATGAGGCCCTGCCTGGCCTTCATACCTAGGAACAAGAGCAAAAACTGAGATAAAAACAGAAGAATGCAAATGGTAGTTGCTAAAAGCCAGGCCCTCTAGCTGGGCATAGTAGTGTGTATCTGTCCTGTAACTTGAACTCTGGGAAGACTGATAGATTAGGAACATGACTTCAAGACCTTCTTGGGTTCCATAACAAAAATAACAACAACAACTAACAAATTTCAATTAAATCCTATTACCTACCATGCAGTTTGGTACAAATTATGAAAGTACCCTTAACCTACCTGGCTTATCTTTAAGGAGATAAGTCTCTTTGCCCTTAGATTATTATGAGAATTACATCATTCATGAAAATGTTTAACATGGTATAGATACAGAGTAGGCAATTAAGGCATAATATTAATTATGATTAATTAATTATAGTGATGACTAATTATTACTAATTCGTTATTAATTATAATGTTGGTACTCTGTTGAAACTAGTAAATAAAATTTCTGAATAACTTTCAAAAATCAGATTTCCTGGCATGATAGCATATGTTATGAAAAAATACATTCTTTCTCTCTACACGTACAAATATGGAAAAAGATAGCTCGACTCAAACTCCTCTCTCTGAATGTGAAATTTTCATTGCCATGGCAGAGGCCCCCACGATAGCTGCCTGTTGTTTGGCAGATGAAGACTCGCTGGAGACCTCCAGTCTGAAAACTGCCTCACTGAACCACTCAGCTCACAGTATGGACCCGGCTGCTAGATGCTTGATTACAAAGCCGGCTCTCTTGTTTCAGTTTGGAACTGTTTTGAAGAGCCACCCTAACTCTTCCTGGCAACTTCTGCTGCATTTTCTTCCCTTATTCTCTCACAGAAGTTGTTCCCAAGACCTAGTCTCCATAAATATACTCCTTCATATCGTTTGAGAGACTGCTTCCCTGCAAACCTGACTCACGTATGGGCAAAATACTGTTGTTGAACAGGGTAGGCAAATGTCTCTGTAAAGATCCAGATGGTCATAAGAGTATGTACGTCATTGTTGGGCCATGTAGTCTCTGCCATGTCCCTTCAACTCTGCCATTCTTGTATGGAAGCAGCCTCGGACTATACAAAGTACATAAAAAATAAGAAAGAAAGAAAGAAAGAAAGAAAGAAAGAAAGAAAGAAAGAAAGAAAGAAAGAAAGAAAGAAGGCAGCTTGGGATGTATCTCAGTGTTACTGCACTTGTCTGTCATAAGGCCTTAAATTCTAACCCCAGTACTGCCAGAAATAAATGAATAAATAAAATTTAGTTGATATGCACTAAATTTCTATTTTGAATTTTTTCTAAATTTTACTTGCTCTAGAATATTTTTATTTAAGCATTTTTGTTTCCTAAACCATATTAAAAATTACAAATAATAAAACCTGCCTAGTGTGGTGTACTGGCACACACTCTTAATGCCAGCATGTGGGAGGCACAGGCAGGAAGATCTTCCTAAGTTAGAGAGCAATAGTGAGTTTGACAACCAGAGCTGCATAATAGAAAGACCCTACCAGAAGAAGGAGGGGGAGGAAGAAGAGAAAGGAGGAAGAGAAGGAGGAGGAGGAGGAGGAGGAGGAGGAGGAGGAGGAGGAGGAGGAGGAGGAGGAAAGAAAAAAGAAAGAGAGACAGAGAGGAAAGAAAGAAAGAAAGAAAGAAAGAAAGAAAGAAAGAAAGAAAGAAAGAGAGAGAGAAAATCCATCCTTAGTTCACAAGAGTTCAAAACTATCATAAAGTTAGATTTGACCGATAGGTCATAGTTTTCCAGCTCCTGAGCTGAATAAAAGATTAAGAAGATTAAGACAGTAATGTACACACGAAGCTACTGTTTTAGTATACAGATATACAGAACTTGATATTATGGAACCCCAGGACTTTTATGGAGCATAGAGAAGACCTTTTTCTGTCTCCAGGTCAAAAGAACATATGAAAAAAAAATGGGAAAAATATTCATGATTCCCTTTGAACATTACAGCACCATGAAAATTATATTCAGCAAAAAAAAAAATGTTTCAGTGCTTGCAGAGGGAGGTTTTCCACTGAAAATGCTATCTCTATCACTAAATAGAATTAGGGGATTTAAGTCATTGTCTTGTGACTGTACCTTTTCATTCAAAAGCAAAAACACACCCAGATGTGAGATGGTAAATGCCTATAATACCAGCACTTGTGAGAAGGATGCAGGAGGATAAGAAATTCAACATCTTTGGCTATATAACGATTGCAAAATCAGCCTGAACTACATTGAACCTTGTTGCAAAAAAAAGTAAACAATTGTAATTCATTTGGTATATCTTTAATATTTACAAAGATAGACCTAAATGACCTACTGATACAGAATAGGGAAAAAAGATACAAGCTTATACCTGGAAAAATGTTAGTCCACCCAAATTTAACAACCTTCCTGTAGTTCATTTCTTTCTAGAAGAAACAGCCTAGAACAATTTATGTGACTGTGAAACACATGTTTACTCCCTGATCCTGAAGCCCGCTGGCTTTAGAGGTTAGCCGTAGTGTTTCCTTTTGTTCCTGATTGGGCTTATCTTCCCATTTCAGTACGCCTACAACTGCCTTGTAACCCCTTCCTTCTCTCTGTGATCATTTTTCATTTTTACTCTATTTCTGTATAAACCTGCCCTTGAGACCATTCCTCATGGTTCCTCTTCCTGTATTCCTTCAGCATGGGGATTTCTCAAACACTCCTTCACTAGTCCTTAATTCCCTTCCATTATTCCCTCCCTCACATCCTCTGAATAAATGAATACAGTATTGCTTAGGGATTGATAGGAACAAGAGGAACTGGCAGGAATCTTCTCTATGGTATTATACTGCTATACTGAGAAATATGGAGACTAGGGGTGCTGATCTCCGATGAGACCAACTGCAGTAAGTGGCTAATAACTATGTCCTTGACTTTTGAGGTGTCCAGATTCTTCTCTCTAGAAACTTGAAGGCTAATTTGGTCCACGTTTGTCATGATGGGTTCTGATGCCAGAATCTGGGTAGGAGAACTGTCATGAAACACATTGTCCATAATGTATTGCTTATATAACTCCACCACCTTCTGCTCCAGATACTCATTGAGCACTGCATTTGAAATAGGCTTCTGCATTTGCAGGCTGCTTTTCTCTTTGATGCTGGTTATTCTCCAGTAGGATGAGTACCGCTGGATGGGCTTGAGGGGAAATTCAGTGGGCTGAATGGAAATGGAGTCCTCCATGGGCAAAGGAATCTCAGACGACCTCAGCAAAGGGCCATCTTCAAAGCTGCTCTCTGAGGGGAAATCTGCCATTACTGAGTTAATGGCCATCACCTGTCCTCCCGCAATATGTAAGTCATTGTAATTTTTGCAAATACTTTTGCAAGAAGGTGGAACCAAATAGGTCTCTCTGATGGCTTCTCTGCAAATGTCAACTGTGGCCAAGGTTGGACTTTCAAATACAGGGTTGGGGTTTGTTTGCAACACTGTTCTGCTCTGGCTTCTGCCCTGTTGACTCCCTCTCGCATGCACTGATGAGATGAACTTGCTGGAGGATTTGCAGCTCACATAAACACTTTGGACCTGTGTTTCATTCACAGAGGAATAGGAAAGAGCAGCAACAGAACTTTTCTCCTTGCCTTGTTCTCCAGTGACCGGTTCATTATAAGATGCACAGTTCCAATGAATGTCGTTCCAGTAGGCAAGTCCACTGAGGTACCCTTCTGACAGCATTCTGAAAAGAGAAGTCATGAGAAACAGTAGGAGAAAAGAAGACTATAAAAAATGTAATTGTCAGTTGATATATCTAAAATGAATGATGATGAATTCATTCATTCGTTCACTGCCCAGGCCCATTACTGTGTACCTGAAGTATACCAAGCTGATGGTATATGCTGGAGATACAAAGATGAAACACTAACTCTCATGCTTCTCTTCTGGAAGAAAATAAATACTGAATACACATAGCCTCAAAATTACATTACTGGAGATTATAATAGTGGTGGGCACAAGACCATGAAAGCCAATCTAAACAGGCTGCCCATGCATACTTCAGCATTGCTGGGAGGGGGGCATGTTTCACGTTTTTTCCAGGCACAAAAGTAGCATAACATAGTCCAGAGCAAAAAGGGAGGACTCGCAGGATGTGGCTTAAGACATGTAGCATTTCAGCTCAAGGGTAAAGGGTAAGTAGGAATTGGGACTACCGACATAAAATTATAAGAAGACACCGTGGCCTATTCGGAACATAATAAAAAGCCAAGAAAAAGAAATAGGACTGATATGATAGCCCTGAATCTGATTACAAAGGGCCTTGGGTGTTGGACAAAAGAGTTATGTTGTGCCAGAAAGGGAAGTACAGAACTTGCCATCTGGAGAGTCACATGGCTAGTGTGCTAGGAGAAAAAGATTGAAGAAATATGTGACAATGCATATTGAAACAAAGACTGTAATCTTTCTCATTTGATAAAAATTTTCTTCCTGGGGATTAGATAGCAATTGGGATATAGGAGGGATTCTAAAAACTATTTGGTAAGTTGATGAAACATTTGAGAAGAATTCTGAAACTAATTCATTATGAAAGAACAGAGTTTCCCCCTACCTTTTAAAGTCATGTTGACTTTTTCTTTTTATCCCCCTCACTTCGCAGAATATATCCTAGAATGTCTAAACTAAACTGACCAGTTTACCTCTACCCTAGTTATTAAAATTCTTTCCTGACAGCAGGCCTTCCTCCACACCTCCCCTCCCCCTTCCACATCCTTAGCAGTTGTCATTGAAGTCTGGGATGAATAGAACAAGCCAGGAACCAGCAGCTGCATTTTCTAAAAAAAGGAACAGGCTGGCATTCCTGGAATTTGAGCAACAGGCAACAGTGAAGAGAACTGATTCTCTTTGAGCCCAAGGGCTCGGCTACTAAAGCAGACCTGTCAATTTGACACTGAAAATGAAAAGTCAAAAAGAAGGATCATTTAAAAAAGAACATGACATTATGTTTTTCAGTTTCCATGCCCTTTTTACATTCATGCTGTTTGTCAAGTAAATAAAATGTTTCTTTTGGGGAAAATGTGGTCAGATGTAATAAATGAGAAAAGAATAAATAAAAATTTGCACAAAGACAATGTTATAATTATCCATATTTTCAAAATTATGTCCAAAGTATATTCATCAAATTCATCACTAATGTTCAATATTCTGTACGCAAAGTTATACAACATAAAAATACAAAGCTAAGCTTTCACCAACTCTATGAATAATAATGTTGCTTGTATTCTTAGTAAAATTTAAAAGATAAAAAGAAAATATGATGCTTATCTTAAAAATACTTTCGAAGTACAGTTCAATAAAACTAGTGTCTAGTAGCTAGATGAAAAGAAAAAAAATTAAATACATGAGAGGATAATTAGGCAGGCAACAAAGATGACCATAATGGCCCTAATAGTGATGAAGCTGTTTCCCTATCCTATCTACACCCTGCTGTAGCATGCCATTCGACATATAAGTTCCAAATATTGTGTGTCAGGGCAAAAGTTCACTGATAACTTTCAAATTTTTATATAGACTTTAGAAAATCCTAGCAGAGGCTGGCCTGGACCAGGGAGAGTATAAATGAAAAATCAAAGTTGACAGTGAGATCCTGTCTCAAAACAAACAAGCTAACCAAAAGTAAAATAAAAATCAAGCATGGTGATGCAATCCATTATCCCAAAACTTGGGAAGCTGAGGCAGGAGAAGCTGGAGTTTAAATTCAATCAAGTCCCAAAGAAATCAAAAGGAGAGAGAGGTGGATGTGTTAATAATTCAAAATGATTTTTAAAATACTGTAACTTGAGCTTTAAAACATCATAATCAAAATCAGAACCATTAAGAGACTAGGGCGTTCCAGGCAATGGTGGCACACACACACACACCCTTAATTCTAGCACTCAGGAGTCAGAGGCAGGTGGATCTCTGAGTTCAAGACCAACGTAGCCTATAGACTGAGTTCCAGGGCAGCTAAGACTACACAGAGAAACCCTGTCCCAAAACCAAAACAAACAAAAGAACATAAGACATAATATTTATAGATAAACAATGTAAAGTCAGTACCCAACTGCCCTGTCCAGTAAAAAGATGTGAAAAGCCTGTATACCTGAAGGATGCCTACAAATGAGGTACAAAGATTGCATATGTGACCTACAAGGAGCACTAACCAGAGGCTAGGTAAAGAAGTTGCCATGGATATGAGTGTGATTATATTGTGAAACCAAAGATATTCTCTACATATACTCATTCCTAAATGAGCCTCTAATTCTACATATGAACATTCTGGAACTTAGAGGCAAGCCCTGGGAGGAGGACCACTGGAGTAGACCTGATAGGCAAAGACATAAAAGAGGCACACTGCGGAGTTGCTAAAGGCTGATCTAACTGTAGACCTTTATTAGAACAGGACATCATGTCCCTGCTCCAACGGCGAAAAAGAACAAGGGAATAAACACGTTTACCTCAAAAGTTTTGATAAGCATCGCCTACCAAGATGACCATGAACTAACTGTTGCTCCATAATAATGATAACTCCAGGGGCATGAATTAGTTTTACCCGATGGCACAAGGACCTGAGTCTGGACTCCAAGCACCCACAGGAAAATGATGAGAGACAAAGACAACTGGGGCTATATGACAACCTGGGTTACAGAATGAGATCATGACTCAGATACAAAAATAAATAAACAAAAATGCCAGTGATTCCTCTAGCTTGAGAAGCCTGCACTCACCCCTCAAGTTTATGAGTTGTCAATTCCTTGCTTTGTACTGTCTTGGAATTCTTTCTTTGGTGGTGAGAAAGGCCTGAAAAAAATAGGACAAAGGTCTCACTCTGTTCCCCTTTGAAACATCCCTAGCCTTCACCATCCACAACATCATGAAGTGGTTAAAAGAACCTTGACTGACAAAGAGTATTTCCTACATATTAGGAAACTACGGGCCCAAGTTTGAGAGAAGGGTGGCAAAGATTTCACAAAATATAGCAGAAGAGGCATATGGATGCGTTGGTTTCTTTTTATATTTCTATCTCCACAATTATTGCCGACAACCAATCCTACAGGGGATTGATAACCAGTAGGCCTAACAAATTCAAAAGACACTGCCAGTGTGTATCTGTGAAGGTTAATATTGATTGTCAATTTTCCAGAATCTTGAATTACTTAGAGGACAAACTGCTGAGCATGCTTGTTTGTCTAAATCAGGTTCGTCCGGGAATGCCTGTGGGGAGTTAGCTGGAACAGAGATAGGAAGACACATTCTGACTGCGGGTGTCATCATTCTGTGGGCTAGGATTCTGGAGGAAATTCAAGAGGAGAGCAAGCTGGCCACTAAAACTCCATCATTCTCTGTACCCTGACTGCAGACAAAATGAGAGCAGCTGCCTGCTGCTTCACCCCTCCTCTCGCTGCCATGACTTCCCCCACGAAGATGCACCATTTCCTGAAACTGTGAGCCAAAATACTCATTTTCATCAAGCTGCTTCTGCCAAGACATTCTGGCACAGCAGCAATATAAGTGACTAATGCAGAATCAGAACAGGGACAGCCACTCAGTACAGAGGTTCCTAAAAGAAACCAGAAATGAAATTACCATCTTACTCAACTATACCATTTCTTCCTGGATAAGAACCCTACGTCAATCCACCACATAGATGTTTCAAAGCCATATTTATAATGTACTGTTCACAATAGTCAAGATACAGAATCAGATGCCTGAATATCCATTAATGATAAATGGATCAAGAAAATGTGGTAGGTATGTGTGTGTATACACCAGAATTTTACTCTGCTTTATTATAAAGAATGAAATTATGATACTCACAGGAAATAACTGGAAGTTAAGATCATTATATTAAGTGAAATAGACTCAGAAAAATGTTATTTTTTATATATTTTATATTCTGTATATTTTTATACAGAATCTATATCTAAATTACTTCCACATACATATACACATATGAACCTGCATATAGCATAAGAGTATAAATGTGGGTAATATGAATAAAGGGAGAATGGGGGGGGGACAAGAGAAGGTAATGGACTACCCGTGTCATGAAAGGAGAAAGACACTCTGAGAAAGGAAGGAGATTTCCAAGAAGCGGAGGGAGAGAGAGATGGCAGCGAATAGAAACAGAGAATAGTGTTGCATGTATGTGTTCTAGTGAAATCCATATATTTGTATGCTAACCACAGCATTCAAGGCTCTCTTCTTGCCCCCTCAGGCACCGGAGACGTGTGGGTTACATATACATACATGCACGTACTCACACACAACCAGAAAGTAAAAATAAATAAATCCTTTTTTTAAAGTAGGGCTGGGGGACTTTCTCCGTGTCATAGGACTTACTTGCCTGGTTGCAAAGTTGTGGATTTAATCCAAGTTCCACAAAAGCAAAAATTATTTAAAAACTACAGAACAATATTTTAGAATAACTAAGAAGAAACAAAAAGCAGGTGGTTATCCCTGCCCAGCTGGATCGGGGTGACAAAAGAGGCTGTCAAAGTGAACATTCCAGGGCTCCAAAGCCCAGGATTGACTAAACAGCATGGTGGATCAGTTGAAGGCACTGTAGATGGGAGAGAATGTCAACACACGTGACTAAGTCTCTCTCATCACTCTCGAGTTGGGCAATGATAGACACCAGTCTATGGTGTATTGTTTTTCAGAGTAATACAAGCCTTAAGAGCCTTTCTTGAAGAGCCCGACTTTCTTATCCCTGATCCCATGCAGATAAATGCCAAATCTCCCAGCGTTTCTCATCCCGCTCTTCATATTCATCAATCTGATCTGACAGAGGCTTCTCTCGAGGCGCGGGAACATTTATGAAAACTACTGAGAGTCTCCAGTCCTTCACAATAGTGGCAGAAGGCCTAGAATTTTGTTATTTGTGAAGAGGTTTGTTAGTGTTGTGATTATGGTAAATCCAGTCTGCAGCAGTCTACCTGGGCATGGGAGGCCAAGAAAGGAGGATCATGGAATGTAAAAGCAGCCTCTACTATGGGCATAAAAACCCCTGCCATTCTTGTATATGGAGCCAATGCAGATTAGAAAATTGCAGAAGCAGAAGGAAAGAGTGGGTAATGAGGTCAGTGAAACCCATTGAGACAGACAAGCTTGACCGTATTCCATCTAACTTAAGAAATGTTAAGCATTTTAATCAAAAAAACCCAAACTTTGAAATGCTCCAATGTTTGAATATTTTTGACTTCCAGCAGGACACCATAAAAGTACAACTCCAGTCTTAATCTCACGCGATAATCTAAATGCCGGTGCATCAATATCTTGTGTAATGTCTTCAGTGGCGTTGTGCACATGAAAAAGTACATATGAGACATACTTTTTGTATTTCCAGTTGCCTCCTATCCCTAAAATGTATCTTTATGCATATGCAAATATTTCAAAATCTTTTTAACAGAACACTTCTGCTCGCAAGCATGTCCGATCAAAGATTCCCAGGCCGACGTGCAAGGAAGATGATTCAGAGTACGGAGAATGTTCACAGTAAAGTCAAGGTGAGCTTCAGCCAGCTGAGAGGCTGTCGTGAGGGTGACATGCTAGGACGCTACTGCACTCCTTCCCCACCTGACATGGGAGCCAAGAGTGAGACGGGATAAATCTAAGTGACAAAGCCAAGTGTGGGGGAGCACCCCTAGATTCCTAGCACCTGGAAGATAAAAGCGGGTGGATCAAGAACAACTATGAAGCCAGCCTGGACTACATGATATGACCTCAAAAACAAAACAAAACAAAAAACTCTCTCAGATGTGGAAATGAGGTGTGAGACAAGCCCAAAGGAACTGTGAAGCCAGGCTTGCTGGCTCAGCCCTTGAACCCTAGCAGGTGGGGCAAGAGCGAGCTTGAGGCTGACTTGGGCTACACAGTTAAATCCAGCCTTAAAAATAGAAATAACACCTCATAGTCTGGATATATTGATATATGGCACTAACACTGTCTGAAATGGGGAGGGGGGCAGGGTGCTTAGTTCCTCTTGAGCCTACAAGAGATGGGACAGCTGACTACAAACATCTGTGTACCTAGAATGCCTCATGTGACAAAGTGTATCTGTAAGCCTAGCACTTGAGAGACAAAGACAGGAAGAGGACAGCTTGGTTTATATGCCATGATCCAGGCCAGCCAGGGCTACACTGAGAGACCATGAAATGGCAAGGGAGAGACAGAGACAGAGAGAGGGACCCAGATTCCACCAGAGAGGCAAGTTACTTTGAGTTAATAGTGAAATCAGCTTCCATGTATAGGAAGTAGGAACTGATACCGAGGGCCTGAGAACATTTCTGTTATTTGTAATAATGCTCATCACGTTACAGTACCACATGTCTTTGTAAAGACTGCGGGAGTTTCTCAAGTACTGAATAGATCTTTTTAGTTTCAGGTGTTAAATTGCATAGCTTTGGAACAATGCATCCAAAGTCACCAGGCACGCAGGCGCTCTCAGTCATAAAAACAGAGCTTATACTGCAGTACTTACCTTTCCACACACTCAGCTGCCTGTACGGAGAGTACCCGAAAACTTTCCTACCGCATGAGTTTAGGAAGAAGGCTTGTGGATTTGCCCAGAATCTGATCTTTCTGAAAAACTGGCAGCAGAGGGCAGTAGAAAGCATGCCACAGAGGTTTGTGAAATCGTTCTGAAGCCGTGCAGACGTACACTGCACAGAAATTACAAACGAAATTATACAAATACGATTTATTTGATCAACATTTTATGGCCCAAGCCTGTAATATCAGCACCCTCAAAGCTGACACAAGAGCCCAGCTGTGAGTTCAAGGCCAACTTGTGCTACATAGCAAGATCCTGTCCAAAAAGGGGTCAGGGCTGAAAAGATGGTTCTTTGGGTTCATGGCTGCCAAGCCTGGTGACCTCAGTTTGAAGCCAGGACCTACTTGGAAGAAGGTGAGAACAAACTTTGTCAAGTTATGTTCTGAGTTCCACACACGTGCCATGATAGGCAACACATACACCATAAATAATGAAGTGTAACTTAGTTTTGAAAAAGAAATTATTTATCTTGCAACCACAATTTAATGCACTACTAGAACAATATAGTTACATATTTCAGAATCCTAAATATCATAAGGCCGAGAAAGAAAAGCTTCCTGGACCTGTCTTAGTTTATTTTGAGCATTTTTTCTTAAGTTTTATTGCCTATCACTATATCTCAAAGGCATACTTAATTTTATTCAAGGCAGTGAACCGAATGGATTAAGTTTTTCTTATACTTTATTGTTTGAAGTTTTGTTTCTCATCTTAGAGACTCTCTCTCTCTCTTCTCTCTCTCTCTCTCTCTCTCTCTCTCTCTCTCTCTCTCTCTCTCTCTGTGTGTGTGTTTAAATCTACAACTGGTTAAGTGTGAAAAAAGCCATCCAAGGACATCTGCTGATGAGATGTTCTAGGCAAATTTAGCCTGCATTAATCATTACCAGACAGTTGCATACAAAAATTAACCCGATGTGCAAATTCACAAACTAGAAGTACAGGCTAAAGTGCAGTATTTTGTTCAATCATTTACTTAGTTTCCTGAAGAAACTTCAATATAAATTCTTCCTTCTAAATCAGTTTATGTATATATATATATATATATATATATATATAAACTTGTTATAACTTCTGTATATAGACATACTTTTAACTTATACCCTAGGAACACAAACCCAGGATCAAAAAGAAAATCTAATGATAGTACATGTCTAATCCCAGAACAAAGGAACCAGAGGCAGGAAGACCACAGGTTTAAGCTCAACTTTGTCTACAAATTTTAAGTCAGCTAGGGCTACGTAGTGAGAATTTGTCTACACTACAAAAGCAAAACAAAGCAAAAAGAACTAAGGAGGGAGGACTTTGCAAAGGGGACATCTAAAAATGTTTCTTAAGAAAACAGAATGCCTGTTAAGGATAGTAAAGGTTTAAGGTATTAGATCAGACAGAGTTTCTTGCAACCCTGCTGTCATAGAAGAAAAGTAGGCACAGATAACATGCAAACCATCAAGGACCAAATAAAGATAATTGGACTCAGAAAAAAAAGAAAGAAAAAAGACAAAAATTGAAATGAAAAACGGGAAAAGAAGGAGAAAAAGAAATATGCAGGTAGAGTAAATTGGATAGGACACCATGACAGCAACTTTGCTCTGGTTGCTTCCTACATATTATTCCTAATCTTCCAACAATGAGACATTAACTATTATTATAGCTGCCAAGTGAGAAAACTGACACGGTAATAGATGTGAACATAAAAATGTCTTATTGGGGGGAAAGATGGGGCTCAGCAGGAGTGGCAGGGCAATCCATGAAAGTTATGGAGGGATATCATCAAAATATATAATATACATGTATGACAATGTCAAAGTGAAACCCATTACTAGATATAATTAATATAGTATATACTAATAAAATCTGTATAAAAAGAAAACTGCCCTTCCTAAGGTCATACAGCTACTGTTTACTGAAGGCAAGTTTGAAGGTCAAGTTTATAAACTCAAAAGCTTGTGTTGAGAACACATTGTTCTGCTGCACAGTTGAAGGCAGTTTCTATCATACTATTATGATAGCAAGCACTTTTGTTCTTTCAGGAAAATGGCATCATCCCTGACTTCAGTTTCTAACAACAGCATTTGCCAAGTGAAAGAAGGAGGATGCAGCGAAGTATAAATTTTGCATGTCAATGCTCACCGATAAAGAACTTACCCTCCATCTTTGAATCTAACAATATTAACATTTTACTTGACTAGTCTTAATTCTGTAACCTAGAAATACATTAGTCTTGATTTTGCAACTACCTTCCACAAGATAATTTAATTTCACCAATGTACTGTTTACATATCAACCAAACATCTACGTATGTCAGACCCTCATAATGTGTAATCAGCCTACTTAACCTTACCTTTGCCTGTTCCCCACAGGACCCAAGACCCTAGCTATTCTGAACCTATCCCAGTTTTACGCGTCCCAATTACCATCCTAGGGATATTTTATTCTCTGTCCCTAAAGCTTAGCCTCTACATTTATCCCTGGTCCATCTTCCATAATCTTCAGATCTCACCTCAAACACTTAACATCTCACAGACTTTCTCTTTCTTAATTATAAAAGGATTTGAGGTTCATCTCCTTTATTGCAAGATTGTTACCAGAATTACATCGAATGTTAATAAAACCCAACCGATACCATAATCACTAAAATAAATAATTGAAACAGTGTGTGTGAGACAAAGGAGAGATTGGTGATTGGTGAGGAAGTGAAGGATTGGGATGTTAGTGAGCTGGAATATATCTCGTCTCTTACAGAATGTTTTCAATAAGGATAAACTCAGACACTGGAAGAGGCTGGACGGACATGGGTACAAAGGACAACTCCAGTAGTAACCAAACACAAATGGAGCCAGTGGACTGGAACTACCACCCAACACTGTATTGTATAATCTGATGAAAAAGAAAGAAAGTAAAATGTTGGCTGCTCTTACGTAGAAGATCTTGGGCCAAGGCTCCCATTTGACAGCAAGTCTTCTCTTATGACTCTAGCCTAGCTGGGTATGGTGACATACCCCTGTAAGCCCAGGGACCAGTAGTAAGAGACAAAAGAATTGAGCTTCAATCTTAACTACATAGTGATCTTGAGGCCAGCCTGGGCTGTGAGAGCCTATCTCAAAATAATAACCAAAAGAAACTGTAGCCTTTAGACACTAACAAAAGTTATTTCATCTATAGTAACATCTATAGAAAGCATCTTTAACTATAATAAATCCTTGATGATATGTATGCTGGAAATTTTTTTCTTCTTTTGCCACTTTGTGTAATATTGCATACATGTCTATGAATGTTTATTGAGGCCAGATTTTGGGCATCAGACTTACTTGAATAAATTATTAAATAATTTATTTTGGGGGTGTTAAGGCTACAGGGTCTCATGTATCCCAAGCTGACATGAAACCACTATATATTCAAAAATGATCTTGAACTTCTGATCTTTACCCCTCCACCTCCCCAATGCTAGGGTAAGAAGCAAGCAATATCATACTTCATGCATGTGAGGCAAGTTCTCAAGTTACTGACCTATACCCCAACCTGCCTACCTGCCTTTAAAATAGCTTAAATCAATTTATTCTCTTGTTAACAATGCTAAAGGTCATTTCAACTGAAGTTATCAAACACTTTAAAAGTTTTCTAGTGGAGGAGCCAATTCATTCTTATCTCACATTTGATAGTGGAGAAAACTGCTTTAAGATTATGGCTATCAGTCAGGAGTGATAACACACACCTGTATCACAACACTGGAGAAGGTAAGGCAGAAGGATCAGTGGTGGTTCAAAACCAGCGTCAGCCCTACAGTGAGCTTGAGGCCAACCTGACTTCATGAGATGCTGTCCCAAAAGCTAAGAAAACTAAGTAAAATAAAATATTTGTTCCTTCAGGACATAATAGCATATATGTATAATCTAGCACTGGAGAGGCAGGGGCAAGAAAGATTTCCTCAAATTCTAGGCCAGTCTAAGTCAGTCTAGTCTACATTGCAAGTGCCAGGTCAAACCAAGGATATAGAAGTAGCCTGTCTCAAAAACAAAGTAAACAGATAAACAAAATAAAAACTCTGTTCTTTGGAGCTATGATGTGGGACGTTCTTCTGTATATGTGTTGCTTTTATTGGTTGATGAATAAAGCTGTTTTGGCCAATGGCTTAGTAGAGTAAATCCATGTGGGAAATCCAAATATATATATATATATATATATATATATATATATATATATATATAGAGAGAGAGAGAGAGAGAGAGAGAGAGAGAGAGAGAGAGTAGGTGGTGTCAAAGAAATATCATGTAGCTGCCAAAAGAGAAAAATGCCAGAACATTACCGGTAAGTCACAGTCTTGTAGTGATACATAGATTAATAGAAATGTGTTCATTTAAGATGTAAGAGCTAGCAAGGAATATGCCTGAGCCATTGGCCAAATATAAGCTTCTCTGTGTTTCTTTGGGACCACTGAATGGCTGTGGGACCGGGCAGGACAGAAAATTCTGTCTAGAGAGCTAGAAATAATTACTTGCTTAGCCATACATTATAGATTATATCTTGAGTAGTTCATCTTACTCATCCATATTTCTTTTTGTATTATTAGTTTGTGTGCAAATGAATGCAAGTATGAAGGTGCTCATGCATTCAGTTGGTAGAGATGAAGCTTGTATGCCATTCTTCAGGCACTTGTTCTCAGGAACAATGGCCCCACTGGCCTGGAGTTCACCTAGTATTATAGACTGGGTTCCCAGAGAGCCTAGGGTCTCTGCTTCCCTTGTTCTGGGATTACAAGGCACAACACCAGGTTCATTTTTAATGTGGTTCTGGAAATCAAATTCAAATATGCAGCAAGCACTTTGGCGACTCCTCACTCAGCTTCTTTTTCCCAGCATCCTGTTCTGTTTTCTCCGCCTACCTAAGGGTTGGCCTATCAAATGGGCCGAGGAAGTTTCTTTATTAATAAGAAATCACTCCCACATCACCTACTAAGCAATCTCCCCAGCCCCACACTTTTAGGTTTCTTTTTTTAAAATGAGCACAGAAAGTAATGGGCTTCTTGTCATATCTTCATATACCTGTGCCATTATACTTAGTTCTTGTCAATCCCCATCCTTTACTGCCTTCTCCCATCCTTCCTGCCAGCCTGTTGCTGATCATGTTCCTCTCCCATTACCCTG